TGACTTTACAATGACTCCCAAGCTTCATATAGCTTAGGACCTGGAGAAGTCTGAATCCATTCTTGCTCACAACTATCTGAATAAATTCATGAAATGTATCATATTTACGGGGCTCATGCATGCCTAAGGATTATGGTTAACTAATGAGCTTATGCAGCCTTGAAACTAATACATAAATTGCAACACAGTCAAATTGATGGAAACAAAAACAATGACAATTAAAAGGGTTTGTGACTCGTTAAGTTACAGTATAGCTATTTTTTTATTACATGTACGACAGAGAATAAGGAAGCCTAAAGACAAAATGCAAATAAATCTTGCTCTCTTTCCCTCCCCCTCTCTCTCAATGTCTCTGTGTCTGTCTCTCTCTACCTGTACCTCTTCAAGGGAATCTCTACCTGTCTGTCTGTCTCTCTCTGTCACTCCCTATCTCACTCTCTCTCTCTCTCTACATGTACCTCCAGAAGAAATATCTGTCGCTGTCTGTCTGTTTTTCTGTCTCTCTCTCTCTACCTGTCCATCTACAAGAGAACTCTCACTTCCTCTCTCTCTCTCTCTCTCTCTCTCTCTCTCTCTCTCTCTCTCTCTAGCTGTTCCTCTACAAGAAATAGCTGTCTCTCTCTCTCCGTCTTCCTCTGTCTGCTACAAATACATATATATTAGAGAATTTAATGGTAATGAGAAACATACCTGGAAATCCAACTGAGGTTTGGTAATTTCGCGGTACCACTTAACTCCATTTCTAGGTTGAATGCAGAGCCGTAGACTCAACACCTTCCTGAAAATATCATATTATATGGATATTATCTATGATCATTAACACCCACACTTGGACAACTATTTGGTAAAATATGAAGCCTCTCCCCTGTTTGCATGTCTCTTATTCCTCCCTCTCTATTTTCTCTATTCTTTGGTCTTTTTGTTATCCCTTTCTCTGGTAAAGGGAATTTCTAAGGCAGTGGTTTCCTTTAACCTCACATAAATAGAGAGGAAAGGGGAAGCAGAAATGGTGATCTATCACAACACTGTCGGGGGTAACGCTAACAAAACGTTTAAGAACCATTGATCTAAAGAAAGATTGAAAATTAAGAAAAGGAGCGGGCGAGCGAGCGAGAGAAAGAGAGAGGGAGAGAGAGAGAGAGAGAGAGAGAGAGAGAGAGAGAGAGAGAGAGAGAGAGAGAGAGAGAGAGAGAGAGAGAGAGAGAGAGAGAGAGAGAGAGCGAGAGAGCGAGAGAGAGAGAGAGAGAGAGAGAGAGAGAGAGAGAGAGAGAGAGAGAGAGAGAGAGAGAGAGAGAGAGAGAGAGAGAGAGAGAGAGAGAGAGAGAGAGAGATTTGATTTGATAAATTCATTACGTCCAGTAATAAAAGGTATATGACCGTGCCTTCAGGGCACTTTGTGAACTCACATTCTCATTCGCACTCACACTCAGAGCAGAGAAACAAAAATACATGGCTATTATCCACCAAAATGTGGAAGACTCACAAGAATAGTGCCACACACACACACACACACACACACACACACACACACACACACACACACACACACACACACACACATACACACGCACACACACACATAAACACATAAACACATACACACAAAAACTCACACACACATAAACACACACACACACACACACACAAACAAAAACACACACACATAAACACACACACAAACACACACACACACACACACACACATAAACACACACACACACACACATAAACACAAACACACACACACACAGACACACACACACACACAGAAATAAAACACAATCTGTTCCAAGTTAACAGAACACAAATTAATAAACTGATATAAAATGTAGATTTACTTAGTTAACAATTGCATTTTATGCTTAGTACTTATCATAACATTAGAAAGGAATAGAACATATAAAGCTAATAATCATAGCTATAGGTAATTTTATATACTTTAAATTAGTAAATTAAGTTTTATTAATGATGATAATAATGAAGATAAAACGAAATGATTAGGTACAAAATGAACAATATCAATATTCCATTGAATTACTATTTTCATAAACCAAGTACGTACCTATAGAGATGATGAAGCGTCTGTTGAACCTTCTCCTCACTTAAGGGCTGAGCTGTGTTGAGAATCAAATGGTAACAGACCAGAAAGGTGCCGTGCTGATGGCCGCTCTCAAAGAATAATTCCACAGGATCTAAAGGATGGATCCATCGTCCCTCGCTGTCTGACATGATGGTGCCCTCCGTTAATCCTTTCCTTGGTTGTCGGTACCTGCAAAACGGTAGTTTTCAGACCTTATATCACGGCAGCTGTGTATTTGATCTTTACTTCCTCGCTTCTCTCCTTATATCTGCAATGAAATGATAACAAATCCTTCTTCAATTAAGAGGAAAAACTGAAAGTGCATATTTTCAAGTTTTTAATTCGAGCAAATACTAAACACAGTTTAGGAGAATTCTTGACATAGAGAAATTATTAGTTTTCCCCATACCAATTAGAAAA